ATAATATAAATAATATAAATATATATAATATTATATAATTACATACATATATATATATAATTTTATATATATTATATTACACTATATTATATTATATCACATTATATCGTAGTCATTAATTATTGCATATATCACAGCTAAACAAGCTTATTTGCTTATGCTATATTTTTTACAATGTCTTATTCTCTTGATGTAAATTTATTCTTCTTATTATAAAATATATCTTGTTATAATAATAATACATCTTTGTGCATACGACACGGAACATATTAATACGTCCACGAATGAAGTCATTCGAAAGAACAAACAGGTGAACGAGAATGACAAATTCACGTTTTCGTTACCACGTCGTTCCAATGCCACTTTATGTACCCATCGCTAAAACGCCGCCCATTACTCGACTAATAAGATCGCCAAAGAAGGAACAATGACATTCCCACGACCAGAACCTGATTCAGACCATTGCGTTGCGCAAGCAAAATATCTCGTTCTTCCCAAGAGGTCTTCCACAAACGCGAACCTCCCACAGTTTCACGAATCTTCTGGTTACCGGCATTCCCCGGTAAGCAATTCGACCGAAAATTTCGCCGCAACAAACGATCGGCAGCAATGGAATATTTTCGTAAGAATCTTTCGTCGGGATGCTTCGCGAACGAATCGAAAATACCGTGGAACCGGAAGCAAAGCACGATTGTCGCTTTAAAACGGGGGATGATATCGATGCATTGAAGAGGAGTCGGCCCGGAGAGGTCTCTGGAGTCCCCGAAACCAGCCGGGGCATCCGGTTCGAAGCACTCTACGGTTTTCCAGCGGAGTGATGTTAAAGGTCCTCGCCCGATTGGATGAAAATAAAAGGTGGACACAACTGCCAATACACTTAAGTTGGCTTCGCCGCTGCTTCCTTCAAGCATCCTTCTAAATAGAGGCCGAGAAGGATGGCGAGCCCGGCGAAGACGCAGCGACAACGATAGAGGAAAAAAGACGGGGCCAGCGGTGAACACAGGGTGGGGGGGAAACGAGAGGGTTGGAAACAATTCCGTGATAATAAGATAGCAGCCGGTTCCTCCGATGTAAACCAGTAGCTAAAAGACTCGATCCGTGGAGGCACGAGTGGGAAAGCCTGAAATGTGTTTTATGGAACGAACGGGAAACTGCAGGAGCGCCAACCCTCTCTTGATTTTTGTCTGCATTTGTTTTCGTCTTTCTCTTGTTTACGAACTCGATGCTCGGTATCCGACGATTGGCTGGCGAAGAGATCGATTCGATGATACGTTTATGAATACTGAAACGAGAGATTACGCGGGGTTGGCGCAGTTTAGAGGAAAACGACTGTGCAGGAGAACGTAAATAATATTTTAATCCCTTGGCGTACTGTGACGAATCAGACTCGTGATAAAGATATTTGGTAATAATTAATTAAAAGTAAAATACGTTAACTAAAAGGAGAATACAATAAATGGTTTATCTAGAATTAAATTAACACATCATTTTGCACTTTTCGTTTGTCCGATTCAAGGGTTAATTCTAGTTTCTTCGTGTTCGGCGTATTTTAATTGAAAATGCATTGTTTAAGCGCTTCTTTCACTTCATCGACGTAAATGTAATTACAGATGATACGATGTATTTTCCGCAACGGAATTATGGATTGAAAATGTAAATGACCGAAATTATTCTAAACTAATGCGAATGGATTTAAACGTAAAATGGATCGCGTGTGTAAACATTGAGAAATATTTATATGCTACGAAGCAAATGTTGATCGCGTTGAAATCACGCTCGCATTTGTAGATCGTAAAAGTGTACTTGCGTCGCACGTAGGACAACAACCGTGGATTTGCAAACGTGTGAATTGAATAAAAATCTTCGAAGACATGAAACTCGACTTCCCGGGAAATGAAAAACTGTCCTACCGGAGATGAAAAAGAAAGTAAGGACGATATATCTTAACGTACGTCCTGCCTGTAGATTTATTGCGTTCGAGGCACTCGAGAAATTAGGCTGACGCCACCCTTGGACCGGCTTTCGAATCAGTTCATCCGATCTTTAATTTTTCATCGCTGCAAATATCGTATTTTATCAATTCAGCCGTTAACGATGATTGCACGGTATTTTTAAATATTTCTATGAAACCATTTTCTTAGATATTGCAACGAATAATCATGTCCAAAATTTATTTACCGGCCATTCCGTGCTAAGCGGATCACTTTTTACCTTCGATGTTGTAGTCCATATGAAATTAGGGGAAGGGGAGGGTTAAGTCATCATTTTTCTATTTTCGAAACTTTTTAATAGTTACAACATCTTTAAGTTTCGAATTTTTGCGGATTTTTACGAGAACCACCTTCACGTTTAAATTTATATCTCCGGAACTATTAAAGATACAAAGTTGCGATTTTTTTCTAATAATCTTGAGAGATATACTTATCTAGAAAAATTTTGTTTCAACACATAAAAATATTTTATTTTGTTCCAAAAAATAAAAATATTTCGTTTTTTACAAAAAATGAAAACGGTTTTCTGTTATAAAGTTCATCCGCAGTCGGGTTTTTAAAATTTGAGAAAAATATGAAAAAGCTATTTTCCTGTCTCTGATTATTAGATATAAAAGCTATTTATTAATAACTATACATATAGAAGCTATTCACATGTTTCTAATTTGAAATCGTGTCACCAAATAAAATACTTTCTTCTTTAAAAGAGTTTTTGTTCAAGTCAGCGCTGCTAATGTAATTTCAAGTATCATCGATTAAAAAAAATGTATTACGTAGAGCAAGTAACAGTGAATATCTATACAAATTAATAAATATAAAACAGCTTCTTGATTTCTTTTTAAAAAAATTTAAGAAGTCGTAAAATGACAAATTGGAGCGCGTATTAACATTCTTGTTGCATTTTTTTTTGAAACAATATTTAGGCTTATACGACGCGTAGTTATGTTATAGAAAGACTGTTTTAGATTGTATTATAAATCGAAGGAAAAGGAAACTATACTATACGCCGATCAACATTGTCAACGGGGAAGTTAATGAAGAAGAATATTAATTGTTTCAGTAAACGTCGATAAAATGTAACGAAAAAAATTGATGCGTCTTGAAATGCCAAAGAATCTGTAACCTAAGAATCTCTAACATAACACTAGATTTACGGTACACTAAAATACTAATATTCTATTTCATACTAGTATAAACTAAAGTAAAATAACAATAATACGATTATTCTGTTTTTTTAGCGAGTGTTATTATAATATTTGCTGCAAGTAACACATATATTGGAGAAATAACTCATAAATGTATCTCTACAACCTGAATAATCGTAAATTAAAAAATGAGTAACCCGTCATTTTGACGAGTTCTGAAAACCTAGTGTTAAGAACTTGAAAAGAAAATGCATTAGAGTAACATAGACAATATCATGTGAAATAATTAATTTTAACAATTTATATCTAGACTTTGTGTTCGCTGGTTTCGCGACATATAAATCTTTTAAACAGAGATATAAATAAAAGACTCGAACCGCAGGAAGTTAAATAACAAAAGACTGAAAACGCCAGTGAAATCACAGTAAAATAGAAGTACGGATGAACACATGCGAGCCAAGCCACGGTGGCATCGGTTGCTAATCCATCCCACATTATTCCAGGCACTACTGCCGCGCTGCAGTTTATTAATGTTCCGTATGCCCGAGAAATTCACGAGACACTGTTTGAAAGTGGCAGCGGCAAACGATGTAGACGGGAGGATTAGTATCGACAGGGGTAAGGTGAAACGTGGAAGGGCCAGCAAGGAAAGGGTGCATAGTGGTGGTCGTGTTAAGAGCGCGGCTGCAAAGAGAGGGATGAAGCAGACGAACGGACTGACGGACGGCGGATCCTCGACAAATGGATTAAGCGCAAATTGCTAAACTCTGTTTAATTTGGCCAAATGAATTTTGTTCCGCCAGCCCTCTCTCGTTTTCTCTCCACCCTGTGCCGCTCACTTTCTCTATTCCTGTCTCCGTCTGTCCGCCTGTCTTTTTCTCCCTTTCAATCTGTCTCTCTTTCTCCTTCTCTCTCTCACTCTCTCTATCTCTCTCTTTCTTCTTCTGTGCCAGCTGGACTCGCTCATCTGCACCGAAACCTTATTTTTCTGCAACTACACGCACACCGGGGTTCTGACAAACAACTGTGCCCATTTCTTTGTTTGACCAAACACATCCCGGGTTACTACTGAAACTACATCTTTGTGATCCTTTCGAGAATTTTGCAAGGGAACGTGAAAATTTTGCGTCAGTTTAAGCTTTCCGCATCGGCGAAATTGTTTATTTCATCCCCTGTGTAAACACCTTTAAAATGTTTGTCATCGTAGAATAGGAAATTCCGAATGAGTTATTTTAACGCGGACGTAAATGCTGCAGCATTCATTTTCATTGTAATGCAAAATGACATTCAGCGTGCAATAAACACTGCGATATGATGTTACATCGAAATTTATCAGTCACATTATCATGCATTCAATTCTATATACGATTGTCAACGATTATAAAAACGAGTCGCAAGACCCGAATAATCATATCTCCTCTTCCCAAATTGTCCACAATCTAAGCGTCAATAAGGGAGAATTTACTGTAGTGTTTATCTTTTGAAGTTATAACGCACTTCGATGTAATCATTTATGTTTAAATCGCTTGTCTATTTTTACAACTCATTAAAATTTTTCTGTCCACGAACGTGTTGACATACAATTTTGCTTAAATTGCATCCTTAGTTTTCAACGTTTCTTTGATCGAATTAAGAAATCACAACGGTAAGATAATCAACGGTAATCATACGGTAATCATACGGTAAGATAAAGTTTCATGTTCCAGGAAGATTTAGTAATTCAACATAATTAATCGGAGGCAGATCACTATAGAACAGCGAAGTGCCGTGCGTACACTCCACAATGAAATATATAACGAGCGATAAATTGCAAAGGAAGCTGTTGTTGACAGATCCCAAAATTGATACAAAACATTTAGCGGCTAGTGTATATTACACCTTTGAAACCAAACATTTTGACGATAACACTAACATGTGTTCTAGAATGAAAGCGTGCAGTTTCCATCGTTAACTTTTCTTCAAGATTAATTAATTCTGTGTCGGATCCGATTGAATTTTTAGTTGCTGGTATTGATGTCAAATGCGGAATTAACACTACTCCTGTGTGTTGTAGGGTAAGTGAATTGTTTCGGAACTAGACGCAACATCAACATCGTTATCCAAATCCCCAGCATTCAGATAAACAGAACTCTTGTTCGAAATATAATATTGTAACAGCGGAAAGCTTCAGCCCGGGTAGAGTGGGTGGCCAGATCCTTAACAGCATATTCTAAACACAACGCATAATCTCTACTGGCTTGATTTAGGCACGTATTCCAAGGTGGATACCTACTGATCTCCAGCAGCACAAACGAGCCGGATGAACACGGGATAACGTTGCGCGTAGTCAGATTCCGAAGTTGCCTTGACAGTATGTACAGGAATATGCGGACGATAATACAGGATCCTCCGCCTTTGGTGTGTTCCGATGTCCCTAGTCCGTCTCTCGCCTGTGTCCAATCACGATATTGCATTGAAACCCCTGTTTTTGGAACTGTTACGATACACCAGAGTTGGTTACGCACGGTGAAGTTCGAGTAATGACTAAAAGTATGACTAACGTTAATTCGATCAAATTGCCGCAAACTACTTCCTCGAACGTAAACGCGTTCGTTAGTCATGTTCGGCTAAACTATCTTCGTTAGACACAATTACGATTTAGTCAATCTAAATATAATATAAAAATATAATATAAAAATATATAAGAATAAAATCGTATTGAAAATGGTATTGAAAATAATTGTTCGCTCTGCTTTTTCCCGATATATAAATCTAAATCAATTATACGATAATCTACATTCTGCACAATTCTGCAATACATCCGCTGTTTTCTGACAATGATGTTCGCAAGAAAGTCGCTCTTTTATTGCAGACTGCGTTTATCTGAATGGATCTTCACGAATTAATTTTAATTAATTAATTAACATTTTATTCATTGGAAGCCTATTAACAGTCTTGCATAATTATTGAACTGTGTCTAACAGAAGCTGGATGTTAAATGGGACAAAGAAATTGGTCTACGATTTTATATAACAGATATTTCTTTATATCTACTATATTCCAAATTATTTTTATAACAATATTAGGACGTCTGGGAAATAATTGGTTTAACCACAAGTATAATAAAAATTAATATTGAAAGATGAGGAGAGTACAGTACTACATAAAATCAAAATATTCTTTTCCAAAATTCCCTTTAAGGCATTGTAATAACATATAATTTAAAAATGTACTTGTTTAATTAATTGAAAACAGTGAAGTTGAAATAACACAGTAAATATTCTTGATTACGTTAATTTACTTACGCTTTTGCAATCAGTTTTATCGTTCGGGACTTAGCAAAGTAATCTGCAACAAAATAATACACCATTTTATTCCAGATTGCCTGGTAGGAAATGTGTTTTCATTAATTGTGCTAAATTTTTTTTCACCGTTCGAACAAGGTTTTGACTACATTTCGAAAGTGTCTTCTGAAACATAGACCGATCATAGGAATACAGTAATAAAATCTGAGAGTATTTAAATGTTTATTAACAATTTCATATTTGTATGGACAATGACGCGGATTACAGGCAATATTTAATTGCGCTTCAATGAAATATCGCGGACGTGGATAGCTCGAATCTCATATCTGGTTTTAGATAATATATGTGTTATCATGATTTATTATCATTTTCGCTGTTAAGATATTTGCAGAACTTGAAAGTCGCCATGTGTCGAGTTTGCTACAGAAATACTGTTATCTGAACTGATAATTTCGTCACGCTAACAATCTATTTGTTCTCTCTGTTAAACCAACTACTTTATTTGCTTTTTTGACCTGTTAAAAGAATTCGATTTCTCCGTCATGAGAGAACGTACGTGTGGTGTGTAGTATAGTAAAGAATCATAATTGGAAAATGGTCATGAATATTTTCTCTAGTTGCTTTGTGTTTTTTAATATGAGGAAATAATATAAATAATGAAATTAGGCTATTTAAATTGTTAATATCTTGCATATCGTTGCCCGTTAACATTTGCAAAATGGCGAGTCAGTTGTAAATAAACATTCTTTTTACATAAACCTAACGAGAACGAGAAAATACAAGAAGCTTAAATTGTAAATGCGTGATAGGAAAATATGTTGTCGCAAAAGACATCTGGCATTGTCAACACGTATCATTACTTCTTGACGCAACGATGACCACTGAAAATTAAGCAGTTAATGCATTCCTTTGAAACAAGGTCGACGATTATGTAATATTAAGCATAAACAATGTTACACAAGGTAATACTAGCGTGATTATAGTTATTCCAATTAAATTATTTCGCTGTTTGTAAGTAGTTTCCACTTCAGATTTAATTTCAATTTTTGTTCAGGCATTACTGTGGAATTTAATCTCCTTTAGTGCCTCCATGATTTCCATTAAGTTAATTAAGACTATCATCATTATTTTGTTACAGATGCACTAAATAATACGTGTTACTGCCGGATACAAATTAAGATTAAAACTTCCTGAATTGCTTTTTTAGTATTCATTTTATGCAGTCATATACAATAATTCACAATTTAATAGCTCCATTGGAGACGAAATTGGTTTCTAAAAATGATCAATCATAAAAGATTAATATAAGATCGAACTGAAATATCAACATGATAAATGATTAAAAATGTGCTTTCTATGTGCTTCTACAATATCTCTAAAACATTCATCACAGAAGTAAATTGATATATAACGAGAATTATGCATTGCATGCTATGCTTTTCTTTCTTCTACTTTTCAACGCGCTGTATCAACAATTCATGAAACATATTAAGCATAATTACAGCAACTGCTCTCCAAGATGAAACATGGAAATCAGCCACGCAAGCAGACAATATTTTTAAGTGAACTATCATTTACGTTACATTCACCTCCACCGTAATTCCCTTGAAAACGTAAAATTCTTATCGTTACGTCGCATTAAAACGAGGACTTCGCACCGCGTTGCGTCAGTCGCTTGTCTGCATGCGAGATCGTGAGTTCTGCCGAATGACTCAGCTCGTTTCTTTCCGTTCTCGGAATCGTGGCTAATTCAACAGCAAGCCACCGCAAAACGCAATAGCCTTCCGATCTTAGCAAGTAACACTCAGCGATCATTACCGATCTGTCATCATACGATCACGAAATAATTTTACAATATTTTCAGTTCATGCCAACATATTCACGATGGATGTCTCGATCATGCTATTAGTCGCAGTTGCGGTGCTAGGATTGTACTATTATTTCACCAAAGAAGAGGACCCCTTCCAGAAACACGGTCTACCCTTCAAAAAGCCGGTCGCGCCAGTGCTGGGCAGCACCTGGTCCTCCACGTTATTCCGGAAATCGCTCGCCGAAATGGTGCAAGAGATCTACAACATGGACCCGGACGCGAAATACGTGGGCTTGCATCACCGGATGACGCCAGTGATCATGGTACGCGATCCGGAGCTGATAAAGAGCATCGCGGTCAAGCACTTCGACCACTTTCCGGATCATCGTACCTTCAGGGTCACGGACATCGACCCGTTCTTCTCTAAGAATCTGTTGCTGCTTCAAGGAGAAACATGGAAGGAGGTTCGAGGACTGATGAGCCCAGCGTTCACGTCCAGCAAAATGAAAACCATGTTCAGGCTGATGTCCGATTGCGCTGTGAACGTTGCGCATTATCTGACCGCGTTGCCGGACGAAGAAAGGCTGATAGAAGCGAAGGACGTCTTCACCAGGTTCGCCAACGACGTTTTCGCAAGCTGCGCCTTTGGGATCAGCATAGACTCGATGGTGGACAGAGACAATCAGTTCTACCTTCTAGGTAAAGAGGCTTTGGACCTTCACGGCGGCAATTTCATCAAGTTGTTCACGATGTTCTTCTTCCACAAGCTAGCGAAAGTGCTCGGTTTGAAAGTAATTCGACAAGAGGTCGCGGACTTCTTCGAGGCGACAGTGGCGGACAACATCGCGACCAGAGAGAGAACTGGCATCAGTCGGCCGGATTTCATCCAACTGATGATGGAGAACAGAGACAAGCTGGGCCCAGGGAAGCGGCTGACCAATCTGGACATAGCTGGCGAAGCTTTCAGCTTCTACTTTGGCGGCTTCGAGACAACGGCAAGCCTACTGAGCTTCGCTGCTCACGAGCTAGCAGTGAACCCGGCGATTCAAAAGAGGCTGCAAGAGGAAATCGATCAGGTTTTGAAGGATTCGAACGGCGACGTGTCTTACGAGGCTATCAACGGGATGAAGTATCTCGATGCGGTGATCAACGAGGCTATGAGATTATATCCAGTTATTCCCATCACTGACAGAGAGTGCAGGAAACCGTTCGAACTGCCACCTGCCTTGCCAGGGTTAAAGCCTTTCAGGCTGAAAGAAGGTTGCCACGTCTGGTTGCCGATTTATGCGATCCAACGCGATCCGAAGTATTTCGATCAGCCTGAAAAGTTCGACCCCACCCGGTTCTTGTATAGAGAATCGAATTTGACGAACTCTGGAGTCTATTTGCCCTTCGGGATGGGGCCGAGGATATGCATCGGGTACCGGTTCGCGATTCTGCAGAGCAGGGTTGCGCTGTTCCACATTCTTGGCCGATGCGAGCTGAAGGTTTCCTCGAAAACACAGATACCCATGAAGTTCGGGCGAGGGGGGGCGTTCCTGAAGGCCGAAAATGGATATTGGTTGGAGGTTCTGCCGAGAAATAATCCACTTGTGTCTCCAATTAATTGAGGGAAGTTGGATTGGAACGCTGCCGTTGCTGCTGTCCTTGCAAACAAAGCGAACAGTCGGAAACGAAGGTCCGCGAACCATTGTTTAACATGCGGAAACTGTTTGCTGTTGGGTACTTATGGGATATTGAACTTTCGTTACTTTCGATTCATTTGATCTTGTTTCGCTGCTTTGTGAATTCGTAAACGTGATCCTGTAAATGTGATCTTAGGAAAGCGTTTTGTTAGAAGCAACGTAGTGGTTAGTGAACAAACGAACTCTTTCCTACGAATACGAGTGGACCCATCTGCGTCAATTTTATGCACTTGTGTGATTATTTATGGGGACACTGGTCGTGAAACGTCATTCTACAAGCAGCGATAGCACACAAATTTAGACGAAGCAATACTTCAAAAATTGTTTACGAATGTTATTAAATCATGTTCTCCTTGTATCTAGACAAAGCATATTTTCGTGGTAAAAATGAAACTAACGCAATAATGTGTCACAACGACGAGTGTAAAAATAAATAAAAGGAAACATTATGTACGTAAATAAGTTTGTTTGCAGATAAGTTCAGATTCATTTTTTAATGTCGTATGCTACGATTTCTTAGCGTTTTAGTCATCGGGGCATCGAATCTCTTTGGTGACACGAAAGTCGTTACTCAACAAAGATCTGCCGGATAGTCGAAGTTGTTAGGTCACCCTGTAGATTATGAGAAAACCCATTATTATCATAACTGTCACAACTTTGTGCGATAGCATATTGGTTTTTCTATGCCTTTGAAATATAGACGCCAATCTTCGTGGCCGAGACAGTATTTTAAAACTTCTATCATTAATTCACAATCGATTATTGTGCTCCTGGAATACGGATTTGTTTCAATGTAATATCATAAATATCGATTTCAATACTTGAACGGAAGATCGGACAATTTAATGAAACTGTTTAATCTTATTTCGAACGTATGAACGCTCAGTTTTTGTTAACAATCAATGCTAGAAAAATAGAAAATGTAATTTTGGTATTCAAAACACTGTCCATTTTAATCACCTATTTGAAAATTAACTAATTACACGAGAATTAGTATTATTACTTATTATTACTAATTACTTATGAATTAGTATTATTACTTATTATTACTAATTACTTATGAATTAGTATTATTATTTATTATTACTAATTACTTATGAATTGGTATTATTACTTATTATTACTAATTACTTATGAATTAGTATTATTACTTATTATTACTAATTACTTATGAATTAGTATTATTACTTATTATTACTAATTACTTATGAATTAGTATTATTATTTATTATTACTAATTACTTATGAATTGGTATTATTACTTATTATTACTAATTACTTATGAATTAGTATTATTACACTGTAAAAAGTTATTTCATGTTGACACTTACATCAATATGTAAGCAACATTGTCCAACTTAAAGCGAAAATTATTTTAGTCAAGATATGAGAACGTCAGACTCACAACCAATTAGTTATGGTTCATTCCGTAAACACAACAGATTGCCAACATAACAATGAAAAATTAACCGTATAGTCCCATAATACTTCGTGAATAAAGTTATATAGGCAGTGGATCCCCATTATTTCAGTCACTATTTCAAGCAACGTGAACAATGGTGTCGTTTCAATTTTTAACATCGCACATCAGCGATTGGATTTCGATCATTATAATAGCGTCATAAATGCTCCATCATCGCTTCCATGCATACATACATGTAGAAATTATTCTACATGTATATATTCTATATGTATATATGTATAAATGTGGATATTAATCCAACCATCTCATGACACGCATGCATGTGTCAATGCAAATACTGTTTCACTCATATGTGATGGTATTAAATGCGTGATCTGCAAAACCTGCTTTACCTCGGTTCTATTAATTATACTTGTCGGCAAGGTCAATTTAATAGACCTTGCCTTAAATGTTTTTTATATTGACGCACTGAAAATCTGTTTACTACTGACTTGCAAATATCGATTCTCAAAAATTCTAATCGCTGATTTCGTGCACTCCAAAAATTGACGTATTATAAAAATTGTATTCTTACCATCGATGTCTGTTAGCAAGCCATTAAATAATAACAAATTATGGTAACATTAAAATTGTTACATTTGCATGCGTGTGCACTAATTTCGCATGACGCCGGACAATCATCATTCGTCTGCAAAGAGTTCGAATGAAATATCTTCTCTGTTTATTATTATTATTATTATTACAGAGAATTATAATGTATTAGTAGTTCAGTTCATAATATATCTACATGTGATAATTCGCTTAGCTTTTAATGCGCACGTACTCGAATATTTAAATTAATTTATCCGCGTTTACGGAAAATATAATATAGTAATCAAGACCATAACATCGACTTGTTTTTATCTTTTCTCGGGCAAGGTTAGTCAACTTACGTATACTTGACGATCAGACTAGCTGCACTTGTGTCCCAGAACTGGTTTCTGATTCACCGTTTCGCCAGCTCGGTCACAGGGTCCGCAGGTTCTTCCATTTGTTCATTTATCTTTCCTTCAGTTCTCTTTTATCTCGTTTATTCATGCGTCGATCATCCGTTGGTATTGCGATACAGTATTAGAAATTAGTTTTTACAATAGTGTATCGAGTCAATAATAATTTGATTAGGATCTATAGGTGCAAAGAAATTGCAAGACCAATCATAATTATAACTTTGTTAATATTTTACTAAATAGATCGTTGTTAAGCAACATTCTCAGATATATCGCTGAGGCAATATTTTTATAATAAAACTTCATCACTTAGATAAGTTATTTAGACATTCTTTATTAAGAGTGATAAAGAGTGATGATAAAAATTAACATAAAATAACTCCGCAGATTGTAAAAGTACTGACGCATTGCCGACGTATATTTTGAAGAATCTCACGAAGAATAACAAAATACTCGAAAACAAAAATAATCACGGCACGTGACGATAACCGGTTCAGGTCAACGACCGGAGTCAATAATCCCATATTCCGTTGCCTAAACGTGTTCATGTGCACACGTGCACGTCAGTTATCTGTTAAAGCTTTTGCAAATTTAAATAACGGTACACATGCATGCGCTTTTATACGCTTATCGAAACGTATGTAATTACAGGTGAATTAAGAACTAGGAATGTGCATTTTCTAATCAAACTGTAAGCGATCTGTGGCACGTATACCGTTAATAGAAGTTCATAACTGTAACCATCAAGTGACACCAGGCGATAAAACTTATCTAACTAAGAGTATCTAGTGAGCTGGATATCTTCTCACACTGTTTCTCAATTCAATTTACTGTTTTAATCAGTTTAACAGGAAACGGTGGGTTCGCGTTTCGCTTTTTCAACACGATTTCTGTTTCCCTATTATGTCCGCACTAATAAGTACATAAAGGACAAAGAGTTAAAATGATGTCTTCTATTCTAAACACTTGTTAAATCAGTAAGCTAAGAATTTATACGTATCTTTTTTCAGTCGAATAATGAGCGGCTTTTAATTTCATTGGAGTTTCACGGTAACCCTTTGCACTCGAAAATATCTGAACTTCAAAAGTCAGACATTTCTTTGAATCGACACGATTTCTATTCTTTTCAATATTCGTTCTTCTTTTGCGTGTAAAATTGGACACTTACTCATGTCACATTTAACTTTTAGAATTCTATTAAATAGAAACAGCTTTAACAATATTAAATTTTATTAAATGGCAGCATAGTTTAATAGTGTCTCAGAGTCGTCATTCAAATGCAAAGCGTTAAAATAGTAAACAAATAGTGAATAAGTAAAAAGTCAATTCTTTCGGATCATGAAAAAATGAACGTATTTTCTTTAAAATCTTTTATCTAAGAATTTGATCGAAGAAAAGTGACGAACTAATATAAAAACAATGAAAGCATGGTTTTAAATAATAAACGTAAAATTTTAAAGACTAATAACAGTCAAATAAGGTGTACTTTTGTGAATTGAAATACATCTGAGATTTTGTCTACTACGATTTTTTTTCTAATTTTACTCCGATTTAGAACCTGACCTAGTTTCTAAAATTATCTCGTATATCTGCTTCGACACATGGACTGGAATCCTTGTAGTACTTAATATAAGAATAGAAGTATAGCTGGAGTGAGGTAGAGATGAATGGCAGTGACGCATGCTATACTGTTCCGCGGTTAATTCTATTTTTACACAGGAATATAGTTTCTCTATTTATACAGTATGTCTCGTTTTTAACGTTCAGAT